GCTCGAGCCTGTTAAAGCCCCCCTAGTAGATTCGCCCCTGCTTTCAGCATAACCATTTTTGCCACAAATAATCATAGCCATCCAATGCTACACAAATAATCATCATCATTTATGCAATGCATTTTATGGAATCCATCGGTACCATTCAAAATAGTACCAATTTGAACTGCTTAAAATTCATCAAAAAGTATTGAGCATCTTAGCGAGCAATACATCTTGGGCGAGCTTGTAGTTGCTACACATAATATTCCCCCCAGTCCACCGCCACCAACATTTTCCGATAAGCTGGTAACTTATGTAAATTGCACATGATAACGTTGAGAAGCAGTGGTAGCATAAAAAATATGTGAAAATTATTTTTTATACTACAGCCATAGTTATTTAATCCTAAAGTAGACCCCATACGTTAGCTTGGTTGAATTGATACTTAAATCCAATTCATACATTAGTGTTTAGCTTAACATGCATGAACCGTTGATGAAATCAAACATTTTATTTAATGCGTTGTTACATTGAAACAGAAACTTAGCCAGAACCATTCAACAAAAATTATAAGAAATACTCTCTCCGTCCCATAATGTAAGAGAATTATGGGACGGAGGGAGTACATGATACTAAAAGTATAAGAAACTTTGCCAGAATCATTCCACAAAGAGTCTAAACTACCAGATCATGTGGCATTAGTATGCTACTAAAATAAAACTTCAGCATGTGTAACTGCAGGCAAGGTCTCATTGGTGATATCTAATTCATGCTGATATAAATTAATGGAGGCTGCCATCCAAACGTGATATTGTGCTTACATCAACTTGAAGGTGTATCATCCACTGAGAAATTAGTCCGTCTAAGCATCAAGACTGTGCATTCCATAAATCATAACAACATTCTTGGAAGCGGTTAGGACCCAAGAGAACATTGTATATCTAAAACCGTAGCCGTAAAGTCCAAACACAAGGAAAGGCCATAGGATCAAACACTAACCAGTGGAGGCTGTCGTGGCTAGAATACATCTTGATGTCCACTTTCGTGAGGTAAGGGGAGCCATCCATGCTCATCTTAACATATCGAGGGCTTCCTTGTGCCGCACCCTCTCCCATATTTGTATCTCACCACTACATAATCAGATAAGGGGATAAATTATTGGAGGTCTAAACAGGCTAAATGCAGGCAACATCAGCAGCGATAGTACCATCTCAGATTAAGGGGAAAGTGGTGGCTGCACCCACCTTAGGTGCACCCACGGAGTGAGGTTCCGATCATGCAGTTCCGTTCGGGGAGGAGGCTCCAAGATCCCTCAATTGCACCCACTAAAATGGGCTGGTGATTTGCTAGACCCAATTTTTGTAAGCAAACATGACGCCATTGATGCAATCTTAGCGATGTGGACAGTGGGGAGCAATCGAAATAAATATGGGCACACATGAAGAGATCGATTGCCAACCCATGCGGTCGGTGGAAGTGGTCGAAGAAGTTATAAGGTCACTGGATATTCCTGATAAGACCCTGTTGGCGGAGACAACAAGAGCTAGATGGAAACCGCCAAGAGTACGGCATTGTGAAGAATAACACCGATGGAGCGATTGACATGATCAATCAGAGGGTGTGCGGGTGCAGGTGTGGTTATGCGAGATCACACTTCAGGGGTTTGAGCTACAATTTGCTGGAAGAGATGCTAACGAAGCTACTCAATTTCTTTCGGTAGACACGAACCATGTGTGCTTTTTTGATATAATCCATGTCTTTCTGAATGTCGTGGTGCAATCAGATTATGTACGCCCGATGAAATGAATAAATGCCTTGGATGGGCCGTAAGAAACACCATCACACACAAGATCAGATGCTAACCTAGTCAACAAAACATTTTCTTTTGCATTTTTAACCATTTTAGTCAGGCAATGAGCGGCAAGGTTAAAGCGAAAGGGAGGAAAGGAATCCCCTGCCTCACACCTTTGTAACTATGAAAATAAGCCCCAGTAATATTATTTAATTTGATACGAACTAAACGATTACACATAGTGCTTTTAACCCAACTAAAACAATGTCCGTGTGTTGCTACAAGCAGAAGTTGAATGCCTGTGTGTCGCCATGTAATAACAAAAATATAAACACATCGATCAAATTATTCTTTTAATTCAGTAATACGTGTTACACATAGTTGCATGTGGTTTCCATCACTCAATGACAAATACTAACTCTCTTCAATTTCTTTTCTTCTCGACAGTCTCTGTGTCCCCTTAGAGCATCTCCAGCCGCGCATGTAAGGGCATATTTATCCCTCAGGTGTTTTGGTGATTGATGACAATGCATTTGCGGACTAATCGTGTGCCTTGAGTTTCTCAGATACTTCATCTCTAGGCATGAGATGATTCGGTGCCCCTCGGAGACTATTGAAGTCGGCGTTGTTCTACGGTTCTCTTTGGTGGATTTGAGTCGTAGGAGAGTCGTACTATTAAGAGGGGGTCCGCGTCGGAAAGATTTGGGTGGAATCAACACGTACACTTGTTCCTCCTTTCCCTACATTTTGGAGCTTCCCTTTGTTATCTTGGTTGTGCGGAAATCTGACAACTACTGATGTACTTGCGGTAGTACCGCAAGTACACGTGGTAGTACCGCTGTGTGTCACGGTAGTACCGCTCATCTGGAGCGGTAGTACCGCGGCTCCCAGGCCTTGTGCCGCTCCGGTGCGGTAGTAGGGGCGGATGTAATTTTTTACATCCGCGCCCTCCACGGTAGTACCGCTCGTCCAGCGCGGTAGTACTGCGGGGGCCCATGGTAGTACCGCTCCCTAGGAGTCGTAGTACCATGGCCCTCCTACCTAGTACCGCTGTGTCGCGGTAGTAGGCGCGGATGTAATTTTTTACATCCGCGCCCGCACGGTAGTACCGCGCCTCGCGAGTGGTAGTACCGCGTCTGATTTTTGTACCACCTCAGTTTCAGCGAAAGTAGGCACGGATGTAATTTATTTCATCCGCGCCCTTCCCAGGCCGTGACTTTCCTGCCATGCGGTAGTACCACGCAAGCGGTAGTACTGCCCCCTTGTCAGGCTAGTTCCGGCCTGTGCTGCTGTCGCGGTAGTACTGTGGTCAGCCACGGTAGTACGGCACAGCCTCGCGGTAGTACCGCTCCCCTGGAGCGGTAGTACCGTGTGTCGCGGGCTGAACATGTGGATAACGGTTGGATTTTTTCCACGACTATATAAGGGGTGTCTTCTACCTCTAGTTGACTACCTCTTCCACCTCTAAGCTCCATTGTTGCTCCAAGCTCCATTTTCACTCGATCTCTCTCCCTAGCCAATCAAACTTGTTGATTTGCTCGGGATTGGGTGACAAGTGCCCGATCTACACTTCCACCACAGGATATTTGATTCCCCCCACTTATCCCTAGCGGATCTTGTTACTCTTGGGTGTTGAGCGCCCTAGACGGTTGAGGTCACCTCGAAGCCATACTCCATTGTGGTGAAGCTTCGCGGTATTGTTGGGAGCCTCCAAGTGTTGTGGAGATTGCCCCAATCTTGTTTGTAAAGGTCCGGTTGCCGCCTTCAAGGGCTCCAATAGTGGAATCACGGCATCTCGCATTGTGTGAGGGCGTGAGGAGATTACGGTGGCCCTAGTGGCTTCTTGGGGAGCATTGTGCCTCCACACCGCTCTAACGGAGACGTACTTCCCCTTAAAAGGAAGGAACTTCGGTAACACATCCTCGTCTCCACCGGCTCCACTCTTGGTTATCTTGTCCCTTTACTTTTGCAAGCTTACTTGTGCTATATCCATTGCTTGCTTGTGTGCTTATTGTTTTTGCATCATATAGGTTGTCCACGTAGTTGCACATCTAGACAACCTATTTCATTGCAAGGTTTAAATTGTTAAAGAAAAGTCTAAAAAGTGTTAGTTGCCTATTCACCCCCCCCCCCCTCTAGTCAATCATATCGATCCTTTCAATTGGTATCAGAGCCTCATCTCTTTATTAAGGACTTTGCCGTCCGAAGAGTATGGTTGACAACAACGACGGTGCGGAGGAGCACTCCGGTGTGAATCCCGTCTCGTCTTCGGCCGAAGGGGGGACCTCGGTCTCTCGTGAGGAATTCAATGTGGCTTTA